CTTCTTTGATGCTAATTCTTTTTTTGTTGTTGTTGTTGGGTTTTTTGGGGGTTTTTTCATAATTTTATTGATAAACAGATAGCAATGAGACAGTTTCAAATCAAATAGCTAGGACAGTTTCAATATGATGCTAATTCTTTTAACAATAGAGAATAGCTAGTAGCTGTTCTAACTTTTTATCAAATGAATATGTATACACTTTTCTATAAACATTCAATGTAATCTGAAATTAAAATGAAATACTTAGGCCAAATAACCACATGCAATTTTTTTTCTCTCTCATCTCTTTTTAAAAAAGTAATCATAATGTCATACATTATTTTAATAGAAGTTCATCTACTGAAATTGGTGATAATAAAACATCCAACCACTTGCTCTGGAAGGAGGAAAAAAGAGAAATACGGAGTCTATTGATTATCTCTAAATATAGAATTGCCTCATAGGAAAACAACTATGAAAACTTGCTAAAGAAAAGACAACCCATAGAATGGGGAAAAAATTTTAACAGAGTTATCCTTCAGAAAAAGAACTTCTATGATGAACATAAAAATAATTGAAACAATTTCAGGGCCCCCAAATTCAAAGACCTAATCCAAAAGTGGGCATCTGAGATGAACACGCACTTTTCAGATAGCCAATAAATATATGAAAAAGTATTCAATATTATTGGTCATTTGAGAGATAAAAATTAGAACAACTGTGAGATTTCAGAAAGAATTCACTCCAGAAAAAAATGGCTATCATCAAGGAGTCAGTCAATAATAAATGCTAGCTGGGCTGTGGGAGAAAAGGAATCCTTGTCCTCTGCTGGTGGCAGTGGACAGTGGTGTAGCCGCTGTGCAAATCAGTGTGGAGAAGCCTCAAAAAGCTAGGATTAAAGGTCCCATTCAATCCAGCTCTTCTCCTTCTGGATATCTTCCCAGAAGAATGAAAGACGTCAGAATACAGCAATATATGTGTACTCATGTTTGTAGCAGCACGATTTGTAATAGCTAATGGAAACAACCCAAATGCCCGTCAGCCAAGAAATGATTAAAAAAAAAAAGTGGTCTTTTTACACAGTGGGATACTACTACTCAGCCATAAAGAAGGATAAAATTGAGATTTATAGTGAATGAATACAACCTACCCATACTCATAAATAAATTAGACTCACATGTGTAAATATATTGCCTCCTTGTTATGAGAAACCAAAAGAGTAAATAAGGATCAAAATATACAATAGATACTGTGAAATCTGATGAAATTGTTCAAAAGGAAAAAGGAACTAGGATGCAGGAAAAGGGAAAGGAAGGAAAGGAAAAGGAAAAGATATAAGATAGTTATGCTACTAATTTCTCTTAGTTCATATGTGCTAATATTTCTTGGAAATTTCTTTTTCTTTTTTTCTTTTTTTTTTTTTTGGCAGAACCAGGGATTGAACTGAGACCCCTGCACTTGACAGGGAAGCGCTTATTCTACTGAGCCATCTCCCTGGCCGCTTCTAGGTTTTGTTTTGTTTTGGTTTTTCTTCTTTTAATTTCCTTTCCAAAAAAATGTATGTTATACTCTGAGTAACTACTTTAAAGATAACAATACCGAGTGTATTAACTATTATTATTCTCCTATTATTTTGTGATGAAATTTTTATTGTTTTCCATAAAAGGAACACCAATATCGATGAGTTAGTGGAACGACCACAATGTTCACATATTTTCAGTGGAAAGATAAAATTCATTCAAAATTTTTGAAAGCTCTTCGGCAGTTTCTTATTATCAGCAATTTCACGTCTATATAGATAAAGAATAAAACAAATAAATGTTGCTGAAAGACAAACAGCACTACTTTAAATTACTATTAACAGTAAGGTGGACGGTGGTGACTCGCGCCTACTGCGTCCGGCTCCGCAGCAGCGAGAACGCAGAGGAACAAACAGCTGTGCACTAATCTCTCAGTACTCTGAAGAGCAGCCGGCCACAAACAGATGCTTATTTTCGCATTAGACTTGTTCAAAATAAGAAAAACTAATCTATGTGTAAGAAATATTAATTACCTTTGTAAGACACATACCGAGAGGGGCTACAAGGAGACTTCTGGGGGGCTCGGTTCTACTTCTTTATCTGGATATGGTTCCAGGAGGGTTTTTATTGTTGAAGATGTACTAAGTATATTTGCTACTCCTTGCACTTTGCTGCACATATATTTAAATAAAAGCTATCTCTTAAAAATCAGAGGTGGGGGGTACAAAACCTCGATAAATGTTATTGCTTACACTGAGGTTAGCTGCAAATCACCATGGTAACTTCATATTACAATAATTTGTTCTCAACTCTCACCTTATAGTAATAGTAAAATGATTAAGAAAACAAATAGAACAAAAGATTTGTAAATAAAGGGCCGGCCAAA